GTGTGTTCCTGGTAAACTACCAATAATGAGCCCAGAACTAACATGTTTCTGGATGGTGCTTAGAGTGCATTAATGACAATGTTATAGGTCATAATGCTACAGATTAATTCCTCGTATGCTGAGGATTCAGAACTAAAGATGATAGGCGACTCAACGTGTGAGTTTACCGTATAATCTTAGGTTTCACAACATTTTGTTCCCGTTTGTGTCGAAATTCTCTAACTTATCAATGTGATAACTAGGGATGAGCGAGTACACCACTATCTGTATCTGTTCAACCAACTAAATTATCTGTATCTGTACTCGGAATGGGCGTGGCATAACCCAGAAGTGGGCGTGGTTTAACAGGGAGTGGGCGTGGTTTACATCAATATATTATTTTAAGTCTGAAATTGATATGGATTGATCAGAAGTTGCTATGTGTATTGTTTTTTTGAAAACTATTTACAGAGCAGCCTCAGAATTGAGATTAAATATTTTTGATCACAGTAGTAAAGAAACTATTACAGAACAAGTGTTTCAATAAAATCAGAACATTAATATTTAAGTGCATGGATTAATACATCTGAACTCATGCAGTAGGAACTAGGAAATATGAAATGCTAGAACCAGACACAACTTTATATATATATATTTTTTATTTTAATTTGAGTAAACTGATTTTTTTCTAACGTTCTTGGCATTTTCCCACACAAAGTTAAACAAAACAATGTTGATTAATGTGTGTGTGTGTGTGTGTGTGTGTGTGTGTGTGTGTGTGTGTGTGTGTGTGTGTGTGTGTGAGAGAGAGAGAGAGAGAGAGAGAGAGAGAGAGAGAGAGAGAGAGAGAGAGAGAGAGATCAAAAAAATAAAAAACTCGACCGGAGCGGAGGTAGTGACTAACACAGCACGTCAGCTCTGTCTTGTCAAATGCACCATGTAAGTTACGAAAAAAGTCACTTTAAATATTCAACTGAAAAAGAGGCGCGCTGAAGAAAACCTTGGGAAAACTGAAGAAACTTGAGAAAGTGAAGCAATCACAGCGAGATCCGTTACTGTCTGTGTGCGTGCATGGATGAGCCGGACTGCGCTCCCGGCCAGCTGCAGTTTTGTGTGTAGGGAGGGGCGGGCGCTCTATGTGACTGGCCAATCACAGAGCGTGAAGACAGTCAGTTACCCAATGAGGATTTTCCTTCAGCACGATTACAGATATTGACTCGTTTTACTCGTGTCATGCTAGTATTCGTCAAAAATGCTTTATCCGTACCGGATACTCGTCTGAAACAAGTATCCGGCTCATCCCTAGTGATAACATAACCATGACTGTTACTACTCCGTTTCAGGTGAGACAGGTCTTCTGGTGGGTGCTGGATGTCATGTTTTGACTAGTGTTTTCTTATTGTGATGGATTAGCATGTGTTCATTTTTGAGGGTGTGTGGATGTTGCATGAAGGGTTTTGAATGTGGTTTCGAAGGATAAGGAACAGATTAGGTGATTCTGGTTGAGTTTAGGTCGGATTTGCTGAATGATTTTTAAATTTGGTTTTAAGGACTTATTTCTGGTCGTTTTACCGAGCGGCCATTTACATTATTCCTAGTTATCAAGGCAATCAGGTGAGTTTTGCTTTTACCGTTAACCCATAAATGCTTGAGTAAATCATTGCATGCCGTACTGGCAGATTAGCCCTTTAATTTAGGATAGTGGGTAGGATAGAAAGGGGGTGTGAATGTGGGGATGGATGCTTTGTCTATGGGTCTAAAATTAAGAAAGTTTTTGTGGTAATAGGTTTATAGGCAATTGGCGTGCTAATTCAAGTTTTTCTTGTTGACATGTTGTGTTTTGCCCGCTGTGGGGAGGATGAAGTCAGCACCACCATGCTGCACACAGATGGACAAAGGGAGGACTGAGCCAAGGACTTATGCCTTTGCTTTGCTGACAAATAAAGGACACTGGTGGTAAATCACCAGGACCACATAAAGCCCTCCTCTAGCGGAAGACCTCCAACGACGACATGGATGCTGAACTTGTTTTTTCCGTTTTATTCTTTTGAACAAAATCTTCAACCGGACTTAATACTGTTTCATTATGTCTTCACTAAAGCTAATTGTTCATTATTCATCATATTTGTCACCTGTTTATTCTCATGTGCTTTTGTTGTTTTGTGTGTTTTTTTCTTTTGATCACTGATGAGGATATGTGTCACCAATGTCCTCAAGCTAGTCTCGCATGCCCGCTCTGTGCTGCGGCGTTCGTCCCCTGGGGTCGGGGAGGACATGGAGGAATTTTCCCTGTTAAAGTACAGCGGACAGGGTTTTTCGCCGCCTTGCATGCAATACATTCTTGAAGTAATGAGTTCAGTTAATGCTAAAATCGTGTTTCATGTATTGTTTCATAGTTTTTCATTGTCTCAGCTGTTAACTCATCGGTTGTTTTTCAGTTACTTAATCATTGTTCATTGCATATACATGTTGAAGTTGCTGTGTTATTCTGGAACATCATCTCGTGTTTTGGTATGGGTGCTCCTTTATGCATTTTTGAGTCAAGGTCATATCTTATACCCTTTTGTTCCCATTTTTGGTCATTTTGTTACATTCTCATTATTTGCTGCTCATTTCTTCTGTTACTTAGTTAAGCATTCATTTATTGATATACTCTACATTGCTAATTCGTTTACGATGGTAATGTGTGGCAGACAAGTCCACCAAAGGGAGGACTGTTGTCGCCAAAAAGGTCAAGAGGTCACCTACAACATATATTGAGCTGAATTGTGAGTCCTTAGGTTAAAAGCTTACTGAGATTGAAGATGCCAAAAGCTGTTTCAGTGTACGTGCAGTTTAACATGCTGTTTTTCAGTCCAGCTTATGTAACTTCCAGTAAACCTTGAGTTCTCGGATCATATTGGGTAATAGAGATAACAGGGCTCGTCGACCTCTGGGCTGGTGGCGCGTCGACCATATTGGGAAGTGAAAACATCACCCCATCCAAAGTCAAAGGTCTGTGGGAGTAACGCCAGGGACAAAAGTATAAAGTTAGGACTCCACATTTGGTCGAGGTCTTTTGACTTTTGGCTGTCCTGAAAGCTGTGAGCAGATGAATAAATAAAGACCAGCGCTGTCTGGCTGGGAACTCCGTCTCCGACTCCTTCTTTAAGAATAAAAGAAAATGCCCACACTATTTAGACAGGAGTAAACTATTTAGGGCTGCTTACCCTAACCTTTGTGTGGGCGGAGGTGCAAAGTGGCCGATGTCTGCTCCAAGTCACCACTACACTGTGATCTGTGGTCAGCGAGGCCCACGATCCAGCTAGGAGTCACTGTTATTGCTTCTCGGCCTTTTGGCTAAGATCAAGTGTAGTATCTGTTCTTATCAGTTTAATATCTGATATGTCCTCTATATGAGGACGACATATTAAACAGATTTTTTGTATTAAGGGGTTGAAAGAGGAGCTTGCTCTCTTCACCCCACGCATCAACCTAGCGCTGCAGTGCAGCTGGGAGTGGTGCACTCTCTGATGTTGTGGAAAAGCAATCCCACAAATTATACAAGGCACAAGGTTTCTAAGAGCCTGTATAAAATTTCAATGCCCAGCCACGGAGGTGACAAAGAGCATTCTGGCAGCCAGCACAGCCGCAAAGAAGAATTGCATGCACCCAACGGAGGAAGGAGCTGGAGTCCAGAGGAAAAAGATTAGGGCAGCAGCGGCCTGACGATGAAAAGGAGACTGGCAAAAGAGGCCAGAGGCCCTCCCCATCTGCTGAGGCAGGTAAAGAACAAGGGGAAGGAGGTGGCGGAGACCAAGAGGGGAGACCAGGAGTGCAGTGGGGTCGCTTCCCCTGACCCCACCCCCCATCAGCCTGCGACTTGTGGAGGGAGTGATGGGACAATGGGACCAGAGAGATGGCTACTGTGACAAAATTTTATGTTTGGGATGTTTTATTATTGCCATTGCATTTCTTTCTACCCTTGTTATACCCCTTGTCCCCCCCCTTTTTTTTCTCACCTATGGGTGAAGAGAGAATGTGAATGTTAAAAGTGTCAATAAATTTTGTAAAAAAAAAAAAAAACTCTGTTCTTATCAGTTTAATATCTGATATGTCCTCTATATGAGGACGACATATTAAACAGATTTTTTGTATTAAGGGGTTGAAAGAGGAGCTTGCTCTCTTCACCCCAAGCATCGACCTAGCGCTGCAGTGCAGCTGGGAGTGGTGCACTCTCTGATGTTGTGGAAAAGCAATCTCACAAACTATACAAGCCACAAGGTTTCTAAGAGCCTGTATAAAATTTCAATGCCCAGCCACGGAGGTGAAAAAGAGCATTCTGGCACAATTAAACATGTCTGTAAGAAGCACTGGGCACAGTTGTGTGGGAAGTATTTCTTTGAAAGTTTTACAACAAATCGGCCTTTACTTGCCAAAGTCCGAACAATGCATTAATCGGTCATCCAAGTAGACAACGGGTCAGGGCTCACACTTCTTGTCCTCGTGGAAAAACAAGGGATAAGTATGGCTAAGAACTTTCTTTAAAACCGAAACTAGATAAGGCATGGAAATAAATTAGACTGGGCCGGGCTCCTGATTTTGTTCCAGGAAGGTTCACCGTAACAAAAACAGCTAGGCCCGCTTGCTGTCTGGATTATGAGGACAATAAAGCAACTTGTACTGTGGTTTCTCTTCACTCTGCATAAGTCTTTTGCCTTTTACTAATGACTTCCGTGGAGAGTGACATTAATAAGCATAAGCAATTTTTGCTAGGCTATGCCTCTGTTTGATTGTGCAACGTAATAAAAGCTGTTGTGTGGCCTTTCAAATTGCAAGTGGATGGGTCGAAATTGTTCTTTGAATCCCTCTCATATCTGCTTCTGACTGCATCACTATTTAGACAGGAGTAAACTATTTAGGGCTGCTTACCCTAACCTTTGCGTAGGCGGAGGTGCAAAGTGGCTGATGTCTGCTCCAAGTCACCACTACACTGTGATCTGTGGTCAGCGAGGCCCACGAACCAGCTAGGAGTCACTGTTATCACTTCTCGGCCTTTTGGCTAAGATCAAGTGTATTATCTGTTCTTATCAGACGCTGCATCTGGTTTTATGAGTTGCGATCCGCTCCTTGGGGTGGAGAAGGTTATTGCTTAATCTGTAGCAAGACCTTTTCACACAAATAGAGGAGATAACTTAAAATTTGAAGTGGTTTGAAATTTGTTAACTTTTGTGTGTTTTTTGACTCTGTGGTGCGTCCGTGATGTCGGCGCTTCGCGCTGATGCGAGCAGGCACCACAGTGTGCGATTTCTCTTCAGGTTGACGGTGGAGAAGATGTCACGTCTGGATTTCTCACGGAAGATGATTCAACAGCTTCTGGGATTTAAGCCAGACGATCTAAATTGCATCCTGACCTTGCCTTTCAATAAAGGATTCGATGTAAGTTTTCTGACTGAGAAACTATGGAAAGACTTCTGGACAAGACTGGAAAAGGTAAAAATGGATTTCGACATGTTCGAAATTGTGAAACTGACTGACAATACCAGAAAAACAGTGATTGTAAGAATGTTTAATGAGATGGTGAGTGGTGAAGACATCTGCCTTTGGTTGAGCAGGTTTTGTAATGTAAGAGGGCAAGCAGTGAAAGTTAGGGACATTGACGGCATTTGGAACTGTGCATGGAGGATACCAATCCAACAGTTTGAGGACCCAGAGGGCTTTCAGGGATTAAAACACCTGCCGCAGGTAATCGTGTTGGGGGAAAACAGAGGCTATATTCATTACCAAGGTCAACCAAAATTATGCAGACAATGTGGGGAGCATGGACATTTGGTGGAAGCATGTGAGAAAGCATTCTGCAGGAAATGCAGAGAAGTAGGACACACTGTTGAAGAGTGTGATAAAGGAAGGAAATGTAACTTGTGTGGAATGGAAAACCACTTGTTTAAAGACTGTCCAAAGTCTTTTGCAAACAAAGTTAAGGCGGGCAAAGGAAAACAAGATGACTTAATTAGGAGGGAAGTGGAGGCACCTGCAGAAGAGCTTGGTGAGTTACTAGAGGAACCAATGACAGAGAAGGAAAAGGGGACGGAGCTTGAAAAACAATTAACTGAAGAACAGGGAGAACATCAGGGACAGGTGTTACAAATTACGGAGAAGGAAACAGAAGAACAGAGACCAGTAATACAAACTGCTAAAAGACCAGCTGAGGACTCTTTACCTCAAAGTCCCATTCCAGAGGGAAAAAGAGGAAGGGATGATGTGGTATCAGATGAATCCTTGCAGGAAACTAGAATCTTTCCATCAGACTCTCCCAATGAAACATCTTTTCTTCCGTTATTAGGTCAGTCAAGTCCAAAAGATAATTCTGAAAAAACCAACACATTACAAGAGCTGGAACAAGGAGAAAGGGTAAAACAGAACACCGTGGAAAAAGACAAGGATAATGGATGAATGATGGCAAGAGCCTTTGTATGCAAAAATGACAATATGAGTAATGTGGTTTGTTCTCATTTTCATGTCCCTCACGATTTCAACAATTAATGTGAGGGGTATTAAGACAAATTTAAGGGCCCATACGGTTTTAACATCTCTAAAAGATATGAGAAATTATGTTTTATTGCTGCAATAATGTAATCTACCATTTCTTAAAAGCTATCATTGGTGGCAAGAGGCGTGGTCATATCCTTCAATCTGGAGTGGATCAAATGAAAATAAAAATGATGGTGTAGCAATCTTAATAAACAATCCTAGGGTAATAATAAAAGAGAGTAAAGTGATAAAAGATGGTAGAGCACTTATAGCAGTACTAACCTATTTAGGACAAGATTTCAAAATTTTTAATATTTATGCACCAAATAGCAAAAATGAAAGATGGGATTTGTTAGAAAGCTTACAAGAACATTTGCTTGGGAAGTTGCCAATAATTGTAGGAGGAGATTTTAATTGTTTAATGAATAGTAAAGACAGGAAAGGGTGCGGGGAAGATTTTAAACCTGATAAAACCTCACATTTATTGAGAAAGATAACACAGGATTTTAAATTGAAAGATTGTTTTAAAAGCTTGCAGCCAGAAAAGGAAGGCTTTACATGGAGCAGTGGTGATGGCTCCAAAGCATCAAGAATTGATTACTTACTGGCAAGAGACTGTGTACCTTTGAATGTTCAGCTAACTCCAGCTTTTTTTTCTGACCACTGTGTGCTAACATGCAAATGTAAAATAATATCGGACCTAGTACCAGGAAGAGGTTTATGGAAATTAAATTGCTCACTGTTAGAAGACCCCCGTATAAGAGCAGAATATGAGATGGTTTATAAGGACTGGCAAACACTTCGGGATATGTTTGAAAACAGAGCTAAGTGGTGGGAAATGGTTAAACAAATAACAAAAACCTTTTTCTGTAACAAAGGAAAAGAAAAAAAGGACAAAGAAATACGAGTCTTAAAAGGATTGCAAAAAAGATTGCAAAGAGACTATGTTTTAAACCAAAATGGGATTAATTTTGCAAGCGAAATAAGAGAAATAAAAAGACAAATGACAGATGGCGAAAGAGAGAAGTAAAGGTATGATTTTAAGAAGTAAAACTAAAGAAGCAGAGGAAGGAGAAAATGTACACGATACTTCTTTAGGAAAATAATGAGTAAAACAGATACGATAACAGTTCTGAGAACCAAACAAGGAACAGAAGAAAAAACCACGGAAGGAATAAAGAGGACTGTTGAAGAGTTTTATGAAGATTTGTACAACGAAAGGGAGATAGAGATGAAAATGTTTAATGAAACTTTAAAAGACATGACAGAGTTTAGAAAAGGAAAAGAAGAAATGTGTAAAGAGTTTAATATGATTGAAATGGAAAAGAATTTAAAAGCCTTTAAAAAAGGTAAATCACCAGGAGCAGATGGTTTACCCGTGGAGTTTTATCTGACATTTTGGGAGATCTTGGGACCAGATATCTTGGAGGTTTTTAAAGAATTTGATCAATTGGACCAGCTACCTGAGAGTTTTAGATGTGGAATCGTGTCCCTAATTTATAAAGGAAACAACAAAATGGACTTGAGGAACTGGAGACCGATTACACTTTTAAACATAGACTGCAAACTTTTTAGTAGACTTTTAGCAACGAGACTAAAACCGGTTTTGGGACAAATTATACACTCAGACCAGACGTGTGCAGTTAAATGGAGAAAGATCACACATGGTCTAATCCTTATACGGGACAATATTGCAATGGCTAAAGAAAAGAACACCAAGTTAATAATAGCCAACCTAGATTTCGAAAAAGCCTTTGATAGAGTTTCACATGTTTTTTGTTAGAGTTGTTAGAGAAAATAGGTCTACCTGAAAGATTCAAACACTGGATAAAGTTAATATATAGTAATGTTTACAGTAAATGTCTGCTAAATGGACATCTAACAAAAAAAATACCGATCAGGTCAGGTGTGAGACAAGGGTGCCCGCTGTCAGCGATTTTGTACGTAATATACATTGAGCCATTAGCACAAATGATAAGAAAAGATAAATGGATTACAGGACAAAGGATACCAGCCAGTGGAGGTCAAGACCTAAAATGTGTTTTATATATGGATGATATTAATATCGTGATATTAATATCGTGTGTACTGACATGTCATCTATAAACAGAGCTTTTATACTAACTGAGCAGTATGGGAAAGCATCTGGGGCCAAACTAAATGAGAACAAAACACAACTACAGCGGTATGGACCATGGACAGCAAGTGAAAGAACACAGGCAAAAGTAAACTCAAATGAACAAAAGATATTAGGGATTAAATTTGATAAAGGTAAAGGTGAGGTAAATTGGACAGAAATATCAGCAAAAGTGAGACAGAGAACAGGCCTGTGGAAACAAAGAGACCTAACCCTGAACGGAAAAGTGCTGATAATAAAAGCTGTGATTATCCCTTTGTTTTTATTGGCAGCAAGTGTGTTTTTACCATCTAGGAAAACGATAAGAAGTCTTGAGAGGACAATCTTCCAGTTTTTATGGGGATCCAAGTGGGAGAGACTAAAGAGAAGAAATGAAGAAACCCAAAGGAAAAGGAGGCATGGGGGTTCCAGACCTATATTTGTGTCTGGGTTCACATTACACCTGCACCCACATGCGATTAGTAATGACTGAACAGGGCGGTGTGAAGACACGTGCAATGTCTTACTATTGTATGGGTTCATACCTCCGTAAACTAAAACTGATGCCAAGTAATTTGAGAGTACCTGTAGCCTTTCAGTTGCCACCTGCTTACGAGGTCATTAAGACATTTTTAACACATTTTAATCTGGAAAATGAAAGTAAGGACACTCTTTTAAACCAGCGTCTTTTAACTTCTGTTGTACAGGCTCGAAGTGACCCGATTCCTGTTGCGGGACTTGCAGGTGGGGAGGCGGAGGCGGTGTGGAAAGGCATCAGCCGCCCTGGTCTCCCAAACAGACTGATGGACCTTTCATGGCAAGTGGCACATGGGATCCTCCCCGTCAGGGATGTTATGCACTCCAGAGGAATGGCAGCCAAAGCAGCATGCCCCCGATCCGGCTGTGGCGCACCGGAGATGGTACGGCACCTCCTCTGGGAGTGCAGTGCTGCTGTCAACCTGTGGACAACAGCCGGCTCCCAGGACTTCCCGTACTTGCCAGCAAGGGAGGTCCTGACAGCACACCTAGTGCTCTATGGGGTGAGCCAGAGTATGGCAAAACCAGAAAAACTCAGTGACGAGGAAAGGCTCACCCTAGCCGCCATCAAAGACGCCATTTGGACCTCCAGAAACTTGCTGGTGAGAAAACACATGCAGATCCCCCCCGTGGCTGTGATCCGGATGGCTGCAGCCCTGAGGACATCGTCAGGGTTGCGGGCGGCGAGCCAAGGACACAGCCACAAAGAAGAATCGCCTCTGTGACATTCGGATGGTGGAGCCGGAGTCCACGAGAAAAGGTTGAAGCAGCAACACCCTGACACTCCAGCGCATAGATGGAGGATCCCAAACCACACCCCAGCTGTGGGGACAGAGGAAAAATGGTCTTTGGTTTTTGGAGGAGGATCTGGGTACATTTTGATGCTGGCATGACTGCCATCCGCCCCCCAGTCTGAGGACCCCCCAGGTTGAGGGTCATGGAGAACTGCAACTTAAAAGGATCACAGCCTTCAGACAAATGACAGAGATCATCTAGTTGAATAGTTCCTTTTATTGTAAAAGTTTAAAGGCATTGTAAACTGATAATTGTCAATAAAAATTTTGAAAAAAAAAAAATCTGTTATCAGACGCTTCATCTGGTTTTGCGAGTTGCGATCCGCTCCTTGGGGTGGAGAAGGTTATTGCTGAATCTGTAGCAAGACTTATTCACGCAAATAGAGGAGATAATTTATAATTTGTAGTGGTTTGAAATTTGTAAACTTTTGTGTTCTTTTTGACTCTGTGGTGCCTCCGTGATGTCGGCGCTTCGCGCTGATGAGAGGAGGCACCACAGTGTGCGATTTCTCTTCAGGTCGGCGGTGGAGAAGATGTCATGTTTGGATTTTTCACGGAAGATGATCCAACAGCTTCTGGGATTTAAGCCAGACGATCTAAATTGTATCCTGACCTTGCCTTTCAACAAAGGATTTGATGTAAGTTTTCAGACTGAGATAATATGGAAAGACTTATGGACAAGACTGGAAAAGGTAAAAATGGAGTTCAACATGTTCGAAATTGTGAAACTGACTGACAATACCAGGAAAACAGTGATTGTAAGAATGTTTAATGAGATGGTGAGTGGTGAAGACATTTGTCTTTGACTGAGTAGATTTTGTAATGTAAGAGGGCAAGCAGTGAAAGTTAGGGACATTGACGGCATTTGGAACTGTGCATGGAGGATACCAATCCAACAGTTTGAGGACCCAGAGGGCTTTCAGGGATTAAAACACCTGCCGCAGGTAATCGTGTTGGGGGGAAAACAGAGGCTATATTCATTACCAAGGTCAACCAAAATTATGCAGACAATGTGGGGAGCATGGACATTTGGTGGAAGCATGTGAGAAAGCATTCTGCCGGAAATGCAGAGAAGTAGGACACACTGTTGAAGAGTGTGATAAAGGAAGGAAATGTAACTTGTGTGGAATGGAAAACCATTTGTTTAAAGACTGTCCAAAGTCCTTTGCAAACAAAGTTAAGGCGGGCAAGGGAAAACAAGATGACTTAATTAGGAGAGAAGTGGAAACACCTGCAGAAGAGCTTGGTGAGTTACTAGAGGAACCAATGACAGAGGAGGTAAAGGGGGCGGAGCTTGAAAAACAATTAACTGAAGAACAGGGAGAACATCAGGGACAGGTGTTACAAATTACGGAGAAGGAAACAGAAGAACAGAGACCAGTGTAGCGTTAGAGAATTCATGATGGTCTGCACTTAACAGCTGCGCCTTCACACAGTAACACCGCCAAGGTCGGACGCTTGGTTCAGTATGTTTACATTCCAGGAGAAGAGACAGAAGAACAGAAGAACGCTTTTCATGGAGTAATCAAAGTACTTTATTTGTGATAAGCTAATCAAAACATTTGTTGATCATTAATAATCAGGTGAATGATCTGTGAAATAAAGATGTCATGAGTTATGTGTTTAAATGAATAAACAGGGCTGCCCAGACACACTGATATGCATTACCATGGAAACGCATGACACATTGTTTTCAACCAATCAGAACTTTTGTCTGTGGTAGGGCAGAATCTGGTTTGTTTATGAAAGTAGTCCAATCCGGTTTACTATGATTCTCAAACAACTGGGAGATATAAAAAGAAGGCAACGCCATTTTAAGTCAGTTCCACGTTAAGTTCCACTTTGACATCAGCTCTGCTCGATCCGAGCTCCAAGGAGTTACATCATACTCTCAACATTGTTTTCAACCAGCTCTCAGCCCATCACCGCAAAGCGGAATACAGGCTGGCCATCTGTATTTCCTATTTTAAGCTGAGATCTGTCAAGCTGGAGACTTCCTTCGTTTGTACCAACGAGACGACGGTCCTTCAAAATAAGAGTGAACTTGTTGACGCCTGCCGAGCTACCTGAGTCGACCCTTCAGACGGGCGTTGTTTGCTGTGACCGCTGTTTCGACCAGCTCCAGTATCGTTGAAGGTCCGAGACCTGGCAATTCCTGATCTAACACGGGAGGCTCTTCCTGGGTACGTAAATATGGCAAATGGCGGCTCATGTCATCAGCTTCTGAAGCCCAGTGGTAGCCTAGTCAAAACAACCAGATTCGCTACTCAGCCTAGAGATTCTGAACAAAACACACACACACACAACAACGGAACCATCTACATCCATATGCATCCATCATTGAGATAGTCCTGGTAGATTGTAAGAATTTATAATTATAGAAATTAAAGATTCTTAAATGATCCCAACTTTCTCTCTTTCTTGTCTCTCAGTCAATACAAAGTGTTGAAGTAAACTCCCTGATGATAAAAACGACCACTTCTGATTGATTATTTAGATTGTATAAATATACAAGATCAGGTAATTAAATTATTTAATTACAGTATATAAATATACACTTCTAAACATTACATTACATTACACCAGTAATACAAAATGCTAAAAGACCAGCTGAGGACTCTTTACCTCAAAGTCCCATTCCAGATGAAAAAAGAGGAAGGGCTGATGTGTCATCGGATGAATCTTTGCAGGAAACAAGAATCTTTCCATCAGACTCTCCCAATGAAACATCTTTTCTTCCGTTATTATGTCAGTCAAGTCCAAAAGATAATTCTGAAGAAACCAACACAGTACAAGAGATGGAACAAGGGAAAAGGGAATGATATAAAGCCAGGGAAGAGGAGAAAGAGGATAAAAGCTGGGTAAAAAAAGGTGATGGAACAAACAGTATAAGGTAACCTTGGCCCAACACCAGATGAAAGAAAATATTAAATAACTTGGATGATGCTTAGCTTGGGTGTGCTCTAACACTATCTTTCTAAATGCAAATAAAGATAGCAACAGTGAATGTAAGAGGCATTAAAACAGATTTAAGAGCACTTACGGTTTTATCATATTTAAAAACATGTGAAGAAGATATACTTTTGTTACAGGAATGCTTTTTAATGTATTGCAATCATTATAGGAGGTGGAAGGAAATGTGGCCAAATCATTCAGTATGGAGCAGCTCAAATGAAAACAGAAATGATGGGGTCGCAATATTAGTGAACAATAAGAACTTCTGCATAAAAGACAGTCAAATAATAGAGAATGGAAGAGCACTGATGGCAGTAATCGAAGGAAAGGGTGTTAGGTACAAAATTATAAATGTCTATGCACCAAATAATACAGATGAAAGGTTAACACTGTTTGAAAACTTGGAAGAGCATATGCTAGGAAGGATGCCACTAATAGTAGGGGGGGACTTCAACTGCATAATAAATAAAGGAGACAGGAAAAGTCCTGAGGTAGATAATAAATTAGACAAAACCTCACATAAACTAAATGAGGTAATAAGACAATTTAGACTGATAGATTGTTTTGGGCAATCACAAAAAAAGGAAAACTTGACATGGTTTAGTGATGATAGAACAAGAGCAGCTAGGATAGACTATATATTTTCTAGAGGAATAGCAATGAGAAAGAAAGAAATAAGACCGGTGTTTTTCTCAGACCATTGTATGCTGATCGGGGTGGGAGATGTAGAAGAAGGGATAACGGTGGGAAAGGGGATATGGAAATTGAATTGTAAACTTTTGGAGGATGAGGAAGTAAAAAAAGTTTTTATAGAACAATATTTAGGATGAAGAACCTTACAGGACATGTTTGAACATAAAGCAGATTGATGGGAGATGATAAAAAAGAGAACAAAAGCTTTTTTTTGTAAGATGGGGAAGAGGAAAAAAGAAAAAGAAATGAGAGTGATAAATGGATTACAGAAGAGATTGCAAAGATACCATATTTTAAACCAACAGGGACTAAATTATGGTAAAGAAATAAGAGAAATTAAAGCTGCAAGCAGCGTCGTTCGGCCCTCGCAGCTCCGCGCCGCTCCGGCCTGGCCGGCAGCCCGGGGCACCAGGGCACGTCCGCAGAACACAAACGTCGACCACCCCAACACCAGAAACTGCTAACGGCCACCTTGTCCGCAACTCACCCTGACTCAGCATCCCCTTTGAGCCCACCATTATATTTTATGTCTCACCACTAGGGAATCCTCTATCTTTACCACACTGGTGGTGTGATGACAGTGACCAACTTTAATGCTATTCTGACCATGTTTTTTAAAGTTATCGAAGGATAACGTTATCTAGGTGGCGCTGTGACCAACTACAGAAAAGTCCCATTGAGGTAAGCTTTGGTGACATTATATAACATTCACCAACCGTTTGTGCCTCATTGGCTAAAGGGCATGATTGTTCATTGCCATATTCAGTTTCGGGCAAATCGGAGGCCGTTTGTGGAAGTTACAGTCAAATGTAAGGTCATGGCGTCACGCCAGCATTCACCATGGCATCAAAGCCCCTCCCTTTCTGGAAAGCTATCAGATCTGAATGGTCTTTAAAACATCATGAAGACACTGTATGACCTGAGTGTCATTTTCACTAAATTAGAGGGGACAAATATGGGCATTTCACCATAAAACAATAGACTTCCTGTTGTCAGGGGGCGGGGCTTAGGTGATGTCAGCTGTCCACATTGTCGTTGTCTTGAGATGTGGTCAGTGATCACACAGACAAAGTTTGAATTAGATCTGATCATGCACATGGGAGTTATTAAGTCAAGTAATGTCATGGCGAAAGGTCAAAGTTTGAGGCTTAGCCACGCCCACACCTTTATACTTATTTAAAATCCGACGGTTGAATTTTTTCCCCTGTGACTTAAAAGTACATAGCATAAGTTTGAAGGTGATCGGTGTAAAGGGCAACGGGCCATCAATGTCCAAACAACGT